AATCCTTCCGCTCAGTCTCATCTTTGTCCCAATTTTCGAAAATCCCCAAACTGGATGGAACAGTAATGGCGGCCTCGCCTCTGTCCTACCTTGCCCGTTGGCATCACTACATGGATGCTTCATTTCATGTGAAAATGAAGCTCTTAAAGGAGAGCCACAATGATGTATGTTTCAGGGAAACATCTAATACCTTTTGTTGCAGGCACCACGGAGTATGGACGATCAGAAAGCAGATATCATTTTTCTACAGTTTCTGCCATGGAATTCTTCAAGAAAGCGAAAACCATTCGGCTTAAGAGCCATCACGACAAATATTTAACAGCAGATCCCAATGAAGAATCTGTCATCCAAGATCGTCCAGGCTGGTCAAAATCTGTGGAATGGACAGTCGAAATCGTTGAAGGAGCTGAAAATTTTATCCGTTTCAAAAGCTGTTATGGGAAATATCTCACAGCCTCGGACATGGCATTCCTTCTGGGAATGACTGGTCAGAAAGTCGTCCAAACTGCGCCCAGAGAATTGGATTCATCTGTTGAATGGGAACCCTTTATGGATGGAACGAAGGTAAAGCTGAAAGCCAGGTATGGCAATTTTTTGCGGGCAAATTGGGGTTTACCTCCATGGAGAAATTCTGTAACTCATGATATTCCTTATACACATAATGATTGGATCCGTTGGGAAGTTGATATTATTGAGACTCGACCAGAGGAAGAGTTGGGCTTTGCTTCTTTTCGTCTGCCATCCTCCAATTTCCCGAGTTTCGGTCCATCTGATGGATCCCCAAAGATATCTGAAGGTTTGTATCCGTCAAACTTTTGAGTTTGTTACATGAAAATGCTACTAGGTGCATGATCTGTAAGAACAGGTTATCGGTTTAGGTGGCAGCTTTATGTATTGGACAATGAATCACGAAGAATATATATAGTTATCCCTTGAGATAACTATATGAATTGTGTATATTGTGTGTATGCATTTCTCCAACTGTCCTCTTGAATTCAAGCTCTAGGGTTTCTTCTTAATCTTCTTCTACAAAATCAATCATTACATGTCCTTTGCTTGAACCCTCTGAACTCATACTTAATTCCTTTTGTGATGATCCAAAAGTGGAGCATCCTAAGTAAGTGTTGTTTTTATGATGGAATGTAGAATCTTTGGAATATTGTCGACAACCACAACACCCATATTTTTCTCAAGAGAGACCATTCATTTGCAGTATACCTGGAAACAAGGCATTTGATACATCATATAACACATTGGTTTAACTAAGAATCTAAAGGCACTAAGCCCCGTTTGGCCCCCATTAAAAATATAATTTATTTTTCTCTCTCTTCTTATTAAATACACATTTTTCAATAAAATAATATTATACATAAACTCAAAACAATTTCTTCATTTTTAACCACATATTCTTTAAAAAGAAAAACATTATTCCAAAAATTTTAATCTCAAACAATGGAGGCCAAACAGGATGTAAATGTTTTTCGTTTATGCTCTAAATTTATACATAAACTAAAGGAGTAAATTAGAGTTTATCAGGGTTCAGCCTTTAGTTTCTCATTATTAATTGTCTACCATTTTTTAATAACTTGTGTAAAAGGGAAAAAGAAAGCAGTGCTCCATCTAAAAGAAATTTTTTTTAAAAAAAAAATCTTAAGAAAATTATGAAAAAAAAAAAGGAAGGGTAATTAGCATATAAATCTAGGGACTGATTTTTTTATATCTGTAATGTTATGATATACTTCTGCAATTAGCTTCTTTGTGCTACCCGGTTGTGACCAAATAATTTCTTATTCCGTAAAATTTTAGTCTTTTCAATTTTTTATTAGTCCTGGATATTACATGTAATCGACTATATTTTGTTGTCAATTCATAATTAGAAGATTTCTTAAGAAATTCCTTATTTAACATGTTTTCTGCAGGTAAAGATCTGAGTGAACCTGAGAAAGAGCCACTAATTGGCACCAATTCTCCTGTTCGTCCACCATATGAAACTCTACCACCTGCCCATCAAGCAAATACAAACAATGGATCTGAAACTGATACGACCCAACAACTTGGAAATCGTCCTCAAGTTTCCACACCAGGAGGACCTAACTCAAATGGAGACGACTATAAAGTTGATGTTGGAGAGGAACCTCGTAAATCAGTTGTACAGAACGATGTAGTACCAACAGGTACGACAATTTAATTTGAACCGAGCTGTAGTGCCGGGGAGGGTGTCACCCTTTCTGACAGAACACACACATCACGGGGAGGGAAGAATTTTTTTCATTTTTTATTTCATGCGGGGTCCCACGTCAGTCCCACACTCATGTGAGGTTAGGTCAACTAAGTGGGCAAATCAATGCGGGCAAACTAGCTTAATTCATATAATTTTATCTTCAAAACCAGGATGTAGTACCAAACTATAAGCTGGTTTTCACAATGAAATCCAGATCCTGATGGGAGGGCTTCATAACCAGGATATTTTGAACAAAAGACTTAGTTTCAAGTTTCGTCACAACTTATTCAAAAAATTTGTAACATGTCGGGGAATTGATGAATATATATGGATCTGATGTGTACCCTCTCAAACAGTTTAAACTTTTAGACAAGATGATTGACACATATCAAACATGTCGTGCATGCTTCATTCCATCTATACTAAGCTAGAATCAAGAAAGGGAATTCAAACAGCTCATAACCTTTATTGCAGGCACCAAGGAGCATGGAGAAACAGAAAGCGGATATCATTTTTCTACAGTTACCGCAATGGAATTTTTCAAGAAGGCAAAGTGCGTCAAGCTTAAGAGCCATCACGACAAATATTTAACAGCAGATCCCGATGAAGAATCTGTCATCCAAGATCTTACCATTTCGTCAAAATCCATGGAATGGACAGTAGAAATCGTCGAAGGAGTTGAAAATTTTATACGTTTGAAAAGCTGTTATGGGAAATATCTCACAGCCTCTGACGTGACATTCCTTCTGGGAATGACTGGTCAGAAAGTTGTTCAAACTTCGCCCAGAGAATTGGATTCTTCTGTTGAATGGGAACCCTTTATGGATGGAACGAAGGTAAAGCTCAAAGCCAGACATGGTAATTTTTTGCGGGCAAATTGGGGTTTGCCTCCATGGAGAAACTCAATAACTCATGATATTCCTTATACACATCATGATTGGATTTGTTGGGAAGTTGACGTAATGGAGGCTGGACTAGAGGGAGATTCGGGTTCGAAATCAATAGAAATTCTAAAGAGCATTGTTTATGGAGGTTTAGTGGAGTCAATCACAAGCTTAAGTATAGTGGCATCTGCAGCTGCTTCTGAAACTGCCACAAGTAAGTCTTTCACTATATATATTTACAACTGTAGTCTGTAGTTATCTTTCAGAAATTTAACGTTCTGTTTCACACATTACTCTTGCTACAGTGAACCTTGTGGCTCTTGGATTGGCAAATGTGATAAGTGGAGTATTCGTTATTGCTCATAATGTGAGTAATAATATTTTCTATCATGACTGTTTTAGTAAATTGTGGTGTTTTTGGAAGAACTGCATTGCTAAGATTGATTACGTGAACATTCAGCCATTGTTTGAAAAAGTGTTTTTTTAAGATTATAAGTTGATCAAACTTCATTTTTAACTTTAAATTTTATTAAACCCACCTTTTAAACAAACATTTCGCCATCAGCTTATAATCTCAAAAAACTTTGTCAAATGGGGGATAATACTTAATGTGGCGAAATTTCTTGCATGGTCTGAGATAATGACTTCTAAAGGCACGTTAGAATTAGCATTCTCGGTTTTTTGACCCCTTTGTTGGGAGGCAAGCCCTTCTTCCGAAATTGTGAGATTATCTTGTCGAGTTCCTTAGTATTGTGTCGTGCTCCTACTTTAGTCCCAATTCACATATTCTTTTTTTTTTTCCCCTTTACTGTAAAACTTACTTGACTATGCAGCTGAGGGACATGAAGAATGCGTCTCCAGAAAGAGACTCAAATGAACAAACAGATAGATACGAAGAATTGATTGGCAGGAAAGAGCGCTTCCTACTCCATTTCACTTTTGCCATTCTGTCATTCCTTCTGTTTGGCCTTATCCCTCCAGCAGTTTACGGCTTGGCATTCAAGCTGACTGACAATAATGAATACACTATTATAGCAGTTGCAGCAGCTTCTCTAATATGCGTACTTCTTCTTTCAACTGGAAAGGCTTATTGTCAAGGAGACAAAGGTTTTGGTGAATACCTCAAAACAATTTCGTACTATGTCAGCAATGCAGTTGCTGTTTCTGGTGTTGCATATGGAATAGGAGATGGAATCAAGATACTAGTTCAGAAGCTTGGCTGGTTTGAGCCAAGTACACCTACACCTGCCACTTTGTTCAATTCTGGGGCCACTCCATTCATAGCTTCTTCTTGATGTCGTGAGAGTCGAATTGAGGTTGTTTCAGTCTGGTTGTTGTGTGTTTTCTATCATAAATCATGTCGTTTGCTAGTATTTCCCTCTCTTCTAGTTGGCTCAGTTTTATCATATGCGAGTAGTGAGTGTCGTAACGAAATTGTGTTGTTGTGAATAAATTTATATGGGTTTGTACTCTCACTCTCCTTCCCTCCCTCCGAATACATACATCTAGCATTGTTAGTGTAAAATTTAATTTTAATCTCCACCAAACACCCTCTAAAAGTTTTATTTGACAGAGCTTTTGCTTTTACTTCTAATTTTTTTATTTTTATATGAAAGAATTTTTTAAGAGAGTTACTCTATATCATATTCCTCTAAAACCTAATCCAACAAAAAAAAAAATTCAAAAAATTATTCAAACATAATCATATGCATGTTTTCAAGATTTATTTGGAAAACAAATTTCTTCAATTTTGAGAGACACCATTTATCAAGGGTTGAGAAATTAAATCGTTACTCGCTAATTTTTTTGAGTACCGATTTTGAATAATTTAAAAACCAACCAAAATCAGTAGTATGATTTTAACTATTTCTCAACCCCATAAGTGGATTTTTTATCGTTTTTCATATTTTCTTCTTAAATAATTATTTTTAAGTAACATATTCTAATTTGTAAATGAAAATATAATAAAAAAATTATTTATAAACAAAAAATTTTACTTATAAGTAAAAATTACTAAATTCTAGAACCTTCCTAAAAACAAAACCACTACTTCAAGGCTGAAAATCAGTGGTATAAAACAGTGGTTCAGTTTACGAAGGTGTAGGCTAATTAATCAACCCCATTACTTTATTTTCCCAATTTTCAATTTAAATTAGCGACGGATTCATTCCTGTGGTCAAAAAGTAGCAATGGAAGTAGCAACAGAAGTCCATTGCTCTTTAGCAACAGCTTAATTTGTCAATAATTTAACAACGGACCGTTGTTAAAAATACTGTTGCTAGATCAGTCTACCAATAACCACAACCAAGTTTTCTTTCTAGAGGAAAATTGGTGACCCAACTTTAACCTTCAGAAATTATTGAAAATGTTACTACCAAGGCAAAACTTGCATCAGCGATGGGGATTTTTTCGAGTAGTGAGCCAAATTCTTCATCTCTAAAAGTTCTGGTTACAATCTCCAACTTCATTTTGATCCAAATACATTTCACGCACATCAGAAATAAAAATTTATGTTCTTTTATCAGAATCAAAACGATATATAGCCTTGATAACCTGAAGACTGTGAAAGACTAAAAGTGCATTTTCTGAGCCGCTGATGTTGTATCCACTACACCATCATCTACGAAATAGCACGAATTCTATATAAGGAAAAGGAAAAGTGCCTTAATGATACTCGTATTATAATCAAATCACAGATATTTCTATTTAACAAGTGCAGTAGTTTGGAAAGGGGCACAAACTTCTACACCACATTTCGGGAAAAATAATAAGTGATAAATGAGACAAAAACTTCAAACAAAAGTTCATACTCGCAGAAACTTGCATCAACTGCCCTCAGATTTCTCCAAAGCTGCAAAAAGAGAAAACATCATGTTAATTTTAAGGACACTAGACATGTTTAGCATGCAGTATTACAATGAAGTTTTTAACTTCTTTTCTTCCTTAATACCGTCTTACTATATAATCCTTCCTACCAAACAAATTCACAAGGGTACAGACTCTAACTACATAAAATATATAGACTTCAGTACTGTGCTTTCTTAATCGTGTTCTTCTTAATGTCATTTACGTATAATTGTGTTGGGACGGAGGGGATGGCAGGAGTGGAGAAATTCCAGTAGTACCACCACCTTCATCACAAACTGTTTACATTAACATAACCTGAAAATTAAAATATCAAAAGCTCTTTAAAGCTGTCCAAATGTAAAGAACACTTTTGCATGGTCCAGAACATGTTTAATAGGTCTTATCAAGTATGTCGCGAGAAGGAATTAGGTAGTCAGTTTCTCCTTTTCACGTCTTCTGATCAGTGTCATCAATTGGATAGATATTTAGATCCTCTCATGTATGTTAAAACAGGTTACCACAAAAGTTGACTGCGGAAAATTAGTAAAATAAAGACTCAATCTGGTAGCAAGTCTACCATTTCTCAACTTCCTCAACTGCTAAATTAAAAGGATCGTGCAGATAGGATCCATAGGAGAAAGCACATGCAGACACACAAAAAAGACGGAGAGAGTACTGTTGTAGTTCAGAAGCTTCTCAATGAGATCAACATGAGTCATCAGCATTCTTCTACAGCAATAGCGAACCAAACCCAATGCATCAAGAGCATCTCTGTAAACAAAACAATTTAACATTAGATCTGGAATATCAAGTTACCCCAAGTGTAGAGTGAAGTATATTTCACTAACAATGACAAGCAAAAAGAATTGATGAAGCTTTTTCCATTCAAATAGCAATAAAATACACAAAATGTCCATATTTCTTGGTTCTTTATTATTTATTTTACTGGTCTAATCAGGACCAAGCTGACACGTTATCAGTTCACATCTCAGTTGGTTGTCATTCCCAGGAATGACAGACGACACATCCCGCCATCTGTAAACCTGTAGTTTGTGGAGAAGCACTACCTCCATCAAACCAAATTCTTATATATACAGATATGGAGCATCCCTCAAGGAAATAAAATTCTTACATGTATGTGCAACACAAGCTACAAAGCCAGAAGACCCCATATAAGCAATATCACGCTTAATCCTGCTACTGTATCAATGCTCAAACATACATGCAGTTTTTCCTCCTCGAAATACAAAAAAGTCTACACCTTTGCCCAGGATTTGGGAAGAAAAAGCCCTCAAGGTTTGAGCGCAAGATATTTTGTGGCCCATGTGATTTTATTTGAGGAATTTATTATTACTGAAATACAAAACTTACACGGTTGCTTAATAAATATCATGTATTAGTGCATGTGTGGACAGTGATTATAATTTAATCACTTTTAATCAAACGTGATTTTTTTCCACAAATTTTCGTAGGATCCACAACTATTATCCCACGCATTCCCATAGGCCACAACTTATAATATCTTAAATTATAATTTAATCACTTGCCAAACATGCACTTAAAATCTTATCGGTCAATTTGAGAATTAGGTA